CTTTCCCAGTCACACACAAACAAACACACACACATGCTCACACACGTGCACTATCTCCCTCTCTCTTTCTCTCTCTTTCACACACAGACACACACACACACAGACGCGCGCACACACACACACACACACAAACACTCAAGTTTACACAAAACCTAAAGTAGAGAGAAAGTGATTGGGAAGGAGGTGAGGTGTTGAGAAAGACTGGGGAGGAATACAAGACAGACATCAAAGCTTTTCCGTAACTATAATCTGTTTTCAAATTCAAATATTTTTGTGCTATAACATGGCCAAGGACAAAAATTTCCTTAGAAATTAAAAAGACAACCAGTTGCTTTACAAAAGAAATAAGCGTCGGTCTCATATAATTAGGCAGTTTCAAAGGTTCAGAAATTAGGATTAACAGAAAGGTAAGCGTAAAGAAAAAGGAAGACACAACGACAATATCGAAACAACTTCAGCCGAGATAGATAGCAGGATTATGTTCAGATGGACCACAAGATCAATGACAGCAGGCTGTCAGGGACAGAGGGAATACACAAACAAGAACACGAATTACAACAGAAAAGCTGAAAAGTAAAATAAAGAATAATGGTATTATGATGATGATGATGGTGATGATCATGATTATGATGATAGTACATGTAATAACGAATGACGGAAAGTTTTCAATGATTCAAAGTTCTTCACCGAGACCATGACAATATTTATTGTAGGGTCAGAATGTTTTGTGAACCACCTCCTCTAATTATTTTTTGCAACATGGTTGAGGTCACAACAGTTAGTTACCTTGCTTAGGCCGCAGGTGTCATTTCCATATGTGCCTCCCACTCTGTATTTGATCTGTGGTATGTAGCCGCGGTACCTGCAAATGATACATAGGGCTTAAGTAATTTCTATGATTTATGAGTTTAGAATTAATTAAGAGTTGAAAGAAACGGACTTTCAGAATTGTTAAAGAGGAAAAAGAAAACTACATAGGTAAAGACTCCAAAATCAAAAGCAACAATTAATATTGTAGGCTTGAACAATTTCTGGACACTCTAAATAGTTTCAATAGAACTGGTTGGGTTCTCATTCAAGGCTGTGCCAAGAGATGAATTCTATTAAATGATGTTACCTGTCAAGTTTTTGTCATATTTTGTCAAGTAGTTCAGGGGCTTCCACCTTTTGCATCCTTATTTTCATTATAGACTATTTTGGAACTATAATCATAGGTGGCCTTTAGTTTTTCACCTCTTTCACTTTTTTAAGTGGATTTTTTAAAAAGCAACAAAAATCCTCTATCTTTATGGGTGAACATGGAAAATATAAGCACTTTCCCACTTCTTAACCATCCCCCCCCCCTCCCCCCACACACTTACATACACACAGACACACACAAGAGAAACAATCAAAAAGGAATCTATAGCCTACATTGATTGAATATTCACATTTACGCAACACAAAGGTCTGCAACGTCCCATATATTCCCAGTTTGGAATTGCTCCTCTAAAAGCAGTTTCATCTACAGCAAATATTTTCACAGGTGTACGCCACTACAAATGTTTTTTAATGTGAACTAACTTTGAAGTGGTCTCAATTTAACATTTGTTGCCAACCTTTTTGGTGTTGATTATTGCCAAATAGTTTACGTTTACCAAGTTTATTTTTTTCTTCAAATTAGATAGTGTCTCCTGTATAAATATAACATAACTTCAGGTGTTAGTTCTCTGGTTTTTGCTTTTGTGTATTTTAGCAAAAAATACCGACAACTGAACACAGACAGTTATCAACTCAATGGTTGTTATCAGCTTATTTACACCATTCAATTCAATTAGTTAATAAAAATAAATGTTAGTCCTATAAAGAGACTAGTTAATTTTTGCAAAGCTTCAGGAAACCTTCCACTTGTATCGGTCCTCAACAATATAAATCCCAAAGCTTCTATGAAAGTAAAGTATAATCTTGTGAGACAACTCAAGAATAGCGCAAACCAATAACCACTTTGCCATACAAAAAGGAGTGCCCAAAGTCACAGCAACTTTTACATCAAGAGAATTAGAAGTGACTCAATTCTAAAGTTAAGATGTTCAAATGAGTATCTAAGTAGGATATACTATAAAATCTAGAGGATTTTCGGAAACAATTTATTTTGCGTTTACCCAACCATGAGAGAACATCTGGAATAAGAGTACAAAGCTGGAAAGTTTATTTCTGTTTGAAATCTTAGCCTGGAAGAATCCAAAAGGATTTCAGACTTCTGTTGATTACATGATCTGTAACGGGTAACGGGTATAAGCCAAGATAGCCATTTGAACATTGTAAACATATCATAGGCCTAAACATAATCAAACTGCAGTATATAGCCTTACTTTCTTTTCTATACAAATGACATTTAGTCAGAAAAAGATAGAATAAGGCTGGATGATATTTTAAAGTGAAACAATAGTTGTAAGGTAGTGGTAGGTTATCTTGTGGTTCATCTTACAAGTCCCAAAAATACTTTATTTGTCGCTGAGGACTGGATGTGCACAGACAATAAAACCATTCATTTTGTGCGAACAGGCTTTTGATCCCAGTGATAATTGTGTGAAGACAAATTGCGACTTGGCATATTATATTTTAGTTCTTATGATCAGAAATGGTTCTTTGCACTTTCACAAGCCTACCCTGGAACTTCGGAGCCATCCTTGAGGCCAGCAAACGCTCTCCTTTGCTCCAATGAAGGCCCCCCTCCAGTTGAAATTGTGGTCATTTTGACAGGTTACGGAATCCAATCCTGACAAATTGAAGGGATAACAGCCTTATCTCAACGTAGGCCTAAAGTTCCAACACTTCCACCTTAGACACTAAGCCCTCACACCGTCGTTAACGCCGCCACTCGTGTTGCTATGAGGCCTCTATGACCCGGAAGTAATAGTTTTTCGCTGTGACATGCATTCGTTCTTTTAATTTACATTCTTCTATTTGTTTGCAGTGCAGACGAGAGGCATAAACTCCTAGATTCATCTATTGCTAAACATTCATTCTCAAAAATCTATAAAACTATCAGAATTTTTCAATATATCCCTAAAACAAGTGTTTCCTTTTCAAATCATTGCTAATGTTAATTTATTATCGTGCGTAATTAAAGATCGATATTGCTGCTAGGTGACCCATTGAGATTGTTTATATGGCATCAATATGGCGGCCAACTGTGCTGCTCGAGATTAGCAGTTTAGGTTATGTTCAAGAGAGGAGTGCATGTGAAACCAATGGAAAGGTTTTGCTCTAACTTTTAATCAAAATGGGAAACACAACTGTTGTAGCCTCTGGCGTAAAAAACCAGGGTGATGCCGCAGCGAGCACGCTTTATCAACTCGTGGATTTGAAGGGTGGCGGCGAGTTGGTTGATCTTATGAAAGTGGCAAGATGGACGAAAAATTATACAGGTTATAACCGTCAGCCCAATAGTTTGCAGAGTATTTTGTTCCTTTACTTAACTCATTCGCTACGTATTATTTTCGGCTTGTGGACGATTTTTTTTTTCTGGAGGGCGAATGAGATGATGACAAGATTAATCATTGGGACCTAAACCAGAATCCCCAAATTTTAACATGGTTTAGAGCATCACACATTATTTAAGATGGCATATTTTATTACAAGGTGAAAACTTTACCAGAAATCAATTATATTGGAATAGTTACAGCATATCACTGTCTGGCTTTGAGAGGAAGTTGAAATGTCATTTTTTTTTTTTAAGCCTACAATGTGGACTCGACTACCTTAACGTTTTAGCTCACCGAATATATACACCTCAGCTTGAGGTTAAACTTCTACAGGACATTCCCCTAAACTGTTTATATGGTGAAAATTTGTAGTCTAGTTTGGGGTCAGGGTTAAGTTTAAGAAGTTAAAATTACAATACAATAGACCGTTTAACTTTAAGATCCTGCGGAGAAGGAAAGACTTTAGTAAGCAGATGTAGAACTTGTTCTCAGTCAGAGATACTTTTGTTCTTTTTTAATGCCATAATGTCTTAGACATTTCTTGATATTTAAAGAAATTAGTTTTGCCAAAATTGTTTGCCAAATGCAAGTTAAAAAATAACCAGATCAACCTTTGCTTCTTCTTTAATCAAAAGCTGTAAACTGCAACAGAATGTACATACATATGTATTTTCCAGGTAGAAATTCAGTGAAGGAGATAAAGGTTGAGACAGGCTGAGGTACAGAGAAGACAGAATAGACAAATAGCTGTTATTTTAGGGTTGATGTTTTTTGGATTTTTTTCGGGGGGAGGGTTTGGTAGCTTTTAACAATTCTTATAATTTGTGATTCATAGGTTTCTCATGTCTGAAAGTTTTCTTTTAGTGAGTATGCAATCTATCATCTATGTCTCTGTTTAATTTTGTACTGTTGTCAATCAATTTCAGAGCTTGATCAAAAAATTCAAACAGAAGTCGCCCCTTTCCTCTATGATGGAGGGAAGGGGCGGTACATACCTATACTTGAACTGGTGGAAAAGAGAAATAAAGACAGGCAGAAAAGCGGTATCAAAGCCAGTAAGAACAAGCAGAAGTCGGCCCAGGACCAGGCCATGCTGGATCACCTGATCATGGAGGAGTACGACGTCATGGCTGGCAACACTGGCAAACAGGGTGAGTCGCTGGATATCTTCACAAATTTTTAATTTTTTTATTTTGATTCGATTGTCATAATTCAAATCTTTCGATTCATTCAAATGTCAGCTGAAGTCGTTTCTGTTTTTAAATTAATAAGATGAATATTTGGAAGAATTTTCTTTTGTCAGAACAAAGCGCTTTATGTTACTGTTGTATGTTGTACTGTATTGTTAAGCGCTCAGAGCCTGTGTACTTTTTTCGGGGTTGAGCGCTATATAAATGTCATTTATTATTATTATTATAATTAAGCTTTCTCACAAGTTTTGATTTGATTGTTATAAACTTTCTCACAAGTTTGAATTTGATTGTCATAAATTTCTTATAAGTTTGTCTTGAAGGCCTTAAATTTTCCCTTTTTATTTTGCTGAAATTTGCTCTTTAGTTTTGAGTTGATTGTCTTTACACTTTGCTGTCACGGTGAAAATTATCCGTTCTGGTCACCCGAGAAGTCTGTTGCAGTCGCTGCCCTGACTGGGTGACCAGATGGGGTATTTTGTACTGC